TTCAGAGTAACTGGATTTATGTTGAGGTCTTTGATCCACTTGGACTTAAGTTTTTTTCATGGTGACAGATATGGATCTATTTGCAGCCTTCTACATGTTGACATTCAGTTATGCCAGCACCATTTGTTGAAGATGCTTTCTTTTTTCCATTGTACAGTTTTGGCTTCTTTGTCAAAAATTATATGTTCATAGGTGTGCAGATGTCAGGGTCATCAATTCGATTCCATTGGTCCACATGTCACTTTTTATGCCTGTGCTTTTATCAAAGCAAACAAACAAACAAATACCATAATTTTTCCAGGTGGGTAAGATGACTTTGGGTAACAACTGTTCAGAAAAGAATAACACCTTTGTGCTTAAAATAATTTTGGCAATATGTGATATTTTTGCTGTGTAAATCTATCTGTCTAAGCAGGCAGACTTGCAGTCTCTGGCCCTGGTTCAGGGAGTTGAAAGATATTTAAGGATGACAGAGTATGTGCAACATATAAGCTGATGTGCATATGAGTTAGTAAAATCTTCTGTTCAATGCAAACACTTTGTGTGTTTGCCTGAGTCAGCCAGCACCTTTAGGAAACATCTCTCCCTTCATCTCTAAGAAGTAGAGTGATTTTATATAATGGCATATCATTTCTATAGCAATATTACTAAACATGTGAGAAACAGAAAAAAACAGAAGCATGAAGGGCAAAAGGAAAAGATGTAGGGTCGGAGCAGGTTCTTTCAGAGGTGGTAGTATGTCTGTTGTTCCTATGTGGATGAATAGCTGGAAGGTAGCCTGGCTTTCATGTGCTGACCTATGCTCTCTGCACTTCAGTAATGTCCCTTCTTGGCCCACAGGGACCTTTAGCTTTAAAGTTTGTGGTCTACGTTATCTGCCATCCTATTCTCATCAGGTCACACACCTAGGAGACCAGATAGAAAGCTCCCACAGCCAGCCTAGCCATGGTTCAGGGCTACCAAAGTCCAAAGCTACTTCAGTTGGTAATATCTGTTTCCAGCCACTGAGAGTGGGCTACCTTTCCCTATACCTTTCATTTCCTGCTCCTCAACTCTGGCCACCTGAGCTTTTGCATGTCAGTGTCTGATCCTTGTAGCTAGAGTTTTGCTGCCTGGCCCACAGTCAGGACAAATCTCTCTCACCCACCAGTCCTGCAGCCACTCAGACCCAACCAAGTAAACATACAGAGACTTATATTACTTACAAACTGTATGGCCATGGCAGGCTTCTTGCTAACTGTTCTTATATCTTAAATTAACCCATTTCTCATTTATTTATTTATTTATTTATTTATTTATTTATTTATTTATTTCGAGACAGGGTTTCTTTGTGTAGCTTTGCGCCTTTCCTGGAACTCACTTGGTAGACCAGGCTGGCCTCGAACTCACAGAGATCCGCCTGACTCTGCCTCCCCAGTGCTGGGATTAAAGGCGTGCGCCACCACCGCCCGGCAAATTAACCCATTTCTATTAATCTATAAGTTGCCACATAGCTCATGGCTTACTGGTATCTTAACATGTTGCTTTTCATTATGGCATCTGGCAGCACCTCTCTGACTCAGCCTTCCTGTTCCCAGAATTCTCTTCTCTGCTTGTTCTGCCTATACTTCCTGCCTGGCTACTGGCCAATCAGCATTTTATTTATACAGAGCAATAACCATATCAC